TATAACTATTTTAGAGAATAGAAGAATAGAAGAATAAATTTTTTCCCTTTTTCTTTTCCTGTACATCTGCTATTTTTTTCACGGAAATAACGGTGCCAAAATCGTTAGAAATCGTTAGAAACCGTGCATAAAGGAAAATGTAAGACGAATAACCGGGCAAATAATTAAATTGTACCTCTGGCGGACAGGAATGTCCGTGACAGGTCTTCGATCGAGCATTTCGGTAAATTCGATAAAACTTTTACTCCTTCCATGATGCGGGATTCGTCCTCTCGATACGGGTTCGTTTTCTTCTTCCTCTTTCGCGCTCTTCACGTCGTTTCCCGCGCCAACTTCCAATAACGCGACAATAAAATGGGCCCCCGCTTCCGTGGAAATACGTGGATGGAGAATTGGTCGATGTAAAGAGTTCCCAGGAAATTTTTGAAACTTCTTGCTACGTACTTTTATATATTGTGAACCGATGTTATCGAGGGAAACGTTTGTGTAGATTTAATTCTTGGATAAACTGTTGGAGAAATATAATTCTTATTTCGATATTTACAAAGTAAATTGTGTAAGATCAAAATTAATTCAAAAAAAAAAGGAACAAAAATTAAATGAGCTATCTGAATATAAATCTCATCTTAAAGAGTAATCGTAATACAATTTTTATCGATTCAGAATTACTTCTTACACGTTAAAATATGCGAAATGGAGAATCGAAAAGAAAAAAAGTATAAAAGATAATTATACGAAATTTTGATAGAGAATTCAGTTTTGGAAATGAAATAGATAATCATTTCCGTGTACAGGCCTTAGGCAGAAATTGCAGAGTTCCTTATCTTCCTGGAAGAAGGAAAGTATGTTTCCATGTTGAAGAAATAAGTTTCTCTCCTAGAGATTTTGTTCCTTGCATTTACGATTGTGGAAAGGAACCGGTCAGCCGTGCCGATTGTGCAGATCGTCGCACGCGATATTCGCGAATGAAAAGCCGTGATTCCGCGCAACCAACAGCGATGGAGGTGGAAGGTGTGCGGAATGAGGGTAACGACCGCGATAAGTGGAATAAAAGAAAAGGTAAAATCGTGCCAGCCTATACTGGGAAAGTTATATTGTCAGGGAACGTTTCGAGATATTGTGATATTTGAAACTGCTATAGATATATATAAGAATATTCCATCTTGCGATAAAGTTGGGATTTGAGACATTTTTCTTTCAACGATATTATTATCGCAAATTGCAAGAAAAGATTATTTTCAAAATCTCGTACATTTAATCTCGTTTCTCACGAGATTTTATTTTGGAAAAAAATTGTAATCGAGTTTAAAATTCGTTGTGAATTTTTGGGATATGTCTTTTTCTGTTATTTTATACACATATTTTACACGCGTCAATTTTGAAACGTGCTCAATAAGCTGAAGCAAATGTATATCACAGTAAGATAACTTGTCTATCTAGGGATTACTAGAATTAGTTTGTGCAAACTTCCTGAAGTGATTCTGGACACTGATTGGCAACGGTTGACTTGCAAAAGCTCACTAATAGATGTTCACAGGAGTAATTAGTGAAACTTCTCTTCGCCCTAACTCGAGAAAATTGGTTTGTTAATCTTTACAAAGATTACTACCCGTCATTGTCGATCACATTCGTTTGGAAACGAAAATTATCCACGGGAATAATTTTCTTGTGCAAAAATTTTCGAATGAATCATCCTCCAATTCAACAAATATTCCATATTCAAAACACTCTTCATTTATTATTTCATATAAATAAATAATAAATCTCCAGTAAGTATCAACATAAGAATTTAAAAATTTTTGAAAACACTGGAAACTTTCACATCGCACAAACTCGGAATAAAAAAATTTCACATTTGATTCTTAAAAATTTGATTTTTTAGGTGACGGTCAGGGACGACGGATGGCCGTCCCTCTCCTCGACGACCCGTGTCGTGATCGCAGTGGCGGACATAAACGACCACGGGCCCGAATTCGAGCAAAAGTTCTACACCGTTCAGATACCAGCATCCCCGTCCACCGATAAACCGTTGTTCCAGGTAAGCCATCACTTTCCAGACAACCATCGATCGATCTTCGTAATTCTATCCGACCTTCTAGTTGAGAATTAGGAGCTGGCATCGCACCATTTTCTTCTTCACCGTGTTGCCGGAGAAACGGACGGCGTTACCGTTCTATCCCGTTTTTCGTTTTTCTATTTGTCTCCTTTGTACACGTCCAAGTAGAAGTAAAAATCCCTCCCCCCCTCCCCAAGTATCTTGTTGTATATATTGTCTTCATTCATGTGAAGAAACGTAAGAGGACCGCAAATTATGACCAAAAATGTACGTACGTATATTGAAAACTGAAGGGAGTTGTGCGCGAGTCGAAAAGGAATCATGGGAGAAAGTGTTCGAAGAATTTGATCCTTGGAAAATTGAAATTTTGAAGATTCGATGACCGGGGAATTCGAATTTCATGGAAACGGATTTTATCATTCGATAATGTCGATTCCTGCACTTCCCTTAAGTGGATGGCAAGCTGGGCGGAAGTGAACGCTGCCAAGTGATGTGATACAATTGGCGAAGGTCTTCTGGTATTCTCGATAAATTTATTGCTTAGAGAGCATGGATTCTAGTTTAATGGTTTTTAAAGGTGAAAGCCGTCCAATATAATTCAATTTCCGAATTATTATAAAATTTTTAGATATTTATCGCTCTCCTGAATGTTATAATCTGATTTTATTAGTGTTATATTTAGATTTAATATATTCGTATCTAGTTGCTATTTTTTTTTTTTTAACTTCTCTATCATGTTGCATAAATAATTTTTTTGAGACAAGTGATTTGAAATTCAAAGAATCGCAAATTAATTTAACTTCCAAAAAAAAAAAAATTATAACCTTTCAAACCACTAGCGTTCATTTCAAACGAACCAGTTCACACTTTGCTCGGTCAATTCGTTTGAAAATAGTCTCAGAACCTCACACTCTTCCGTAATAATTGCCAAAAATCTTCCAAAACACCTTAACTGTATAAATACCGAAACATCGTCTCCCAAATCTCACGTATTATTTGTTGATAATTGCTTGGAGTCTGTCTTAATTATTGTACGCCTTGTTCGCCTTGACGGCCAAGCCGCATAACGTAGCACAAATCTAGTCCATATCAAGATTTAAAAAAGGAAAAGTCTAATGTACATAAGCGCACGAAGAAAAAGAAGGTCGATCGTTTTTTATCGAACGTAAAAGTTTCTATCTTAAAGTCGCCTCTTGTCCTCGATGTGATCAATGCTACTTACCAACAACTATCCGTGAAAGGTTAGATTTAGCACACGAACGCCCTCGCACGGGATCCTCCCGTGGAGTTCTTCCGATTTACGGCGAGACATACATAGTCTTGGTTAACGTTTCACGCATCGGCAATTTCGGGCATCTTGACAACGGAAATTAATATTTCTTATAACTTCGAGACGACCTCTGGGTTGTCCACTGTTATCTTTTGAATCGATAATCGATCCTGGCCTCGATGACTTCGAGTTACGCGAATCGTTACAACTTGTTTAAAAACAAATAATTTAGGCGCCATTAAGTGTGTTAGGTTATGTTCGTAAACTGTTATTGCTTGTTTGGAAATAAATAGATTAGATAGATTATTGAGAGTTAGTTTTTTTTTTTTGAAACATTGTAATTGGTATTTTCAATTTTTTTTTTAATGATTTAAAAATGGATTTGTACAAGAAAATAGCGTGTTAATAAATTTTATAATGATGTCAGTTGTAGTTTGTATTTTACAATGAGGTATATTAATAATTGAAAAGAATTTTGTGTGTTCTTTAAAAATATTTTTAATGTAGTTTACATGTTGCAAGTTTCGTAAATTTTATAGTAATATTATAATATGCATAATTTTAATAATTGCAATGTATATTTTAAAATTCGTAGAAATTTGGCAAATATTATAAATTTTAGTATATTAATAATTCCAAGTATTATTTTGCAAGTTTAAAATTAACGTATCATAATATTTATTTACAGGAAGTAAAATATTTCCTCGATCGTTACAGCGAAAATTTTTATATAATCATAATTGTATAAAAATCGTAACAGCTTTCAACGATCCTATTTTATATGATGTTAATCGCGGATAATATTATGCGTGATATTAAGCTATCCAAATATTTGCAAATTTCGAAAATCGACGGATGAAATAATTTAATAAATAATATTATCGACCGAGAGCAGTAGAGAGAGAAATGATTAATCCGACGTCACAGTGACAATAACTTTCATAATATACCCGAGAATATTTAATATAATTTCCCTGTCAGCGTCGAATTTCGTCGAAGCCAGATTCGATTTCGTCGGATATCGAATTACGCGTTGGTCGTTTTCGTAATTTCGCCCGGTCACTGTGTATTATATATTATCAATCTTCGTTCGCGCAAACATAATATATCTCGTTCTCACAAAATTTATATATTCAATTTGCGATCGTATAAAATTTCTCACATTCTTTATATATATAATATATATCTCGAAAGAAAAAAAATTTATACGTACTATGGATTAAAATTTGAAAACTGTGTTTTCAATACGCTTTAATTCGACTGAGTATTCGATAAAGCATGATTTCATCCACGTTGTTCTCCTTAAGTTGGTTGATCGCAATTCCTTTACATGTGTTTCGCGACGAAACCGTCGTTTCAAACGATTTATCATTTCGAGAATAAAGAAAGAAAACCGACCAATCGAAACCGCGCGTCCGCTCGATAAGGTAGGAAAAGAATACGCGGTGGAAGGGATAAAAGCGAATTAGCGGAAGATAATGCGAAAGTTAAAAGGCTTCCTTCTCTCGTTCTCGACAGAAATCGAGGAACCGCTCGCGGGAGTTCGACCTTTCGATCGATACGTTACTAGAGAATGGAACTTGGGAGACATTTAGCCTCGACAGCTTGTCAGGAGATCCTATATTCAGGGTAAGGACAACGCTGGCACGTAAAAGAAACTAAAGACGCCACTCGTGGCACGGGAGCATAAATGATTGCCGCGTGAAACGCGGAATTGGTCTCGGATAGTTAACGCGAGCTCTTGTGCATTGATTTATGACCCGCTTTTATGTACATATATATATATATATATATGTATATCTATACGTATTGTATATCGACTATGTTAACGTTCTAATTATGATACTGCATTTTCATGCAACTCTATGCCTATATTTCTTTTTTACTTTTTTTTTTTTTTTTTTTTTT